CCTACAAAGAATACAAATGAACGTGTGAGCAGGAGATATCGACATAAAAAGGCCACTAGGTGTGGAACTGGGGTCATTTTTGAGAAAATTTATATGTAAAATGTATTTTTGTTTGATATATTTTATTATTATATTTAATTAATATAATATAATATATTTTATTATTATATTTAATTAATATAATATATTTTTAATTACTATTTAATTATTAAATTAATATGATTTTTGAATATATTACTTTTAATTGATATATAAGTATTAAATTAATATAATATATTTTATAATATGTTTTTTATACTTAAAATTATTAAACAAATGATTTATATGAAATATAAATATGAAAAAGAAAAAAAACACGTGCTCGCCACTTGAGTGGACGAGCACCTTCATCAACAAAAACAACTCACGAGTTCGCCACTTGAATGGACGAACATGTCCTGCAATTAGAGCATTCTTGTTTTTTTTTTAAATAGGACAATATGATATTTAACATTTCAAACTAGGAAACTGTAGTAAAAAAGTCTTGTTATTGTGCTTTAAAGGATAATTTCAAAATTTTAATTAACGGTGATGTTTTTCTAGCAACAAATTGGGACACAGACACATTCCATTTAAAAAATAATCTTACTTTTTAATCCTACTACAAATAAGAAGTTGTATTTTTTTTATTTGTAATTTATATATTTATATTTTGTCTTTTGTAAGTTTGCTAAGGGTGTTTGAGAATGGAGAGAAGTTCTACACAAATAAAGGTACAACATTCAACTTCTATATAGCTTGTACAAATGTTCAACTTCATCTTTCTTTCTTGCATTTCATATTAAAACCTTTTTAAAAACATTTATATGCACTTCTACCTCTTTTTCAAAACTATTTTTCTGAAAAATTAAACAGAGTAACCGGTTACTCAAACCTGGTAACCGATTACCCTTTGTAATCTTTCAATTTTTTAGTACATTGAGGCTGGTAATCGGTTACCCACTTATGGTAACCGATTACCACTGGCACTGCAGGCCAGAAAGTTGCATCTTTTGGCATAAAATTGTTTTCATTCTTCTTCTTGTATCATGGCATCTCTTGGCCATTATGTCTCTTCTGAAAAGGTATATATATATATATATATATATATATATATATATATATATATATATATATATATATACTCCGATTTTAAATCCAACCTTCTTGCAAAAATTTCAAATATATTTTTTATCTCTCATTCTCAAATTTTCACAAGTGTTAAAATTCTGAAGAGTGAAACTTTCATACTTCAACTTTCATAAATTCATCATAGTTTCACTCATTTACCTCTTGAACACTTGTTAAGATATATAAGAGTTGGAATATCAAGAAGAAGATCGATCAGAAGATTGATAATTTGAAGACAATTGCAAAACTACTCAAAACAAATTTTATTCATTTACTCTTTGATTACATACTTAGCGTTCCAGGATTGTTGAAATTAAGTTTGTAAGATTGTTACCTTGCTGTCCAGGATTGTTGGAAGTAAGAGGTCCATATTGAGAGGATTGTTCTCATTGAATTTAGTTGAAAAATCCAAGAGTTTGTTCTTGGTGGTTTGATTGTTTAGAATATGTATAGAAATACTAGGTAGAAGTCTTGTCTTAGGATCTAACAATTATTGAAAAATCTCTTTCATGTTGAAAGGGGACTAAAGTACTCTCGGACTGTGAGGGAAACCCGGATATACCGCCGCATCTCTTTACTTTCCGCATTTACCGCATTCTTCACTTAGTAAATTTTAGGAAAGTAAAACAAGGATCCTACATCAAAGACCGGAAAATATGAAGTATCTAATTCACCCCCCTCTTAGGTGCATTTCACACTTACATAAAGCTCCTCGTCCCAAGAAATTTGTTGTTCATACTGAAATGGTACTTATTGAAATGCCTGATGGTACCAAGAAGTGGAGATGCAGATGGTGTGGCAAGCTTTACACTTATGATGTAAAATGGAAAAGTACTTCTAATGGTAAGAAACATTTAGAAAATTGCATTCAGAATTTCCTTTTTCTGTTAAGGAAGGTGTTACCTTGAATGAGTTTTGTAGAGAAATTTATCCATGGTACAAAAATATTACTAGACATTATGAGACATTTTATGAGGCTAAGAGAGTTAAAATGAAAAATTCTGTGTCTTTGATTAATAGGACCAGTCTTACAACTGACCTATGGTGGTCTGGTGAACAAAAAATTGGTTATATGACTGTGACTGGTAATTTCATTGATATAAAGTGACAACTTTACAAAAGAGTTTTATCTTTTAAGAATGTGCCACCATCACATTCTAGTGAGATTTTGTGTAGGGAATTAATTAAGGTCATGGATGATTAGGGCATGGACTAAGGTAGAATTTTGTATAGCCTTAGTAGCAAGGACACTATTAGGGATCGTTATCTTTAGATTATCGTATCTTAGAAATACCGTAGTCAATATGTTCATTTCTTCTACAACCATCTAAAATAAGAGAACAAAAATTACAGAGGGATACTATTAAACTATGTTTGCATTACAAGAAGACAATCTCTAAGCTCTTAGAGATATAAACATTACCTGAACTGTATCAATTTCACATCTATCTCCCACATCAAATGGATGCATAACAAATAAAAATATGATTGCTTCAAAGAAGGTCTTGCAGGTGTTACCGAATATAAATGCAACCAAGTTGTGAGCTCACAAAAGGAAGAAATTTGGTGGTGGCAATTTCCTATCAAGAGCCAAATAACCAGTATGAAAATGGCAACTAAAAAATTGAGCATTCGGTGAAGTTTGTTCCCCGCCATTTTGGTGTCATTCAATGTCAAAACAAGGGCTCTCCTCTCCTTGAATGCATTCACCTGCAAAATAAAATGCACAACATTATTGTGAATACTATAGAAGCAAACATATTACAATTTCATGTAACAACATGCACCATTGAAATGCTAAGTTTGATCTCGACACAATTAATAGATACACACTATATGGAAAACAACCCCTAACTAAGCTAAGAAGTTCATGCAATATATAGACACACACTATATTGCAAACAATACCCCATCAGACAAATAATAGAAAAATATATAGGAAAGCATATCCTAATACATGGTTTAGGTATAGGTTGAACTGTTAATTCTTACCACCCAGTTCTTCAAGAGTCTTAGACATCTGTATAATGTGACCAATTGCTTTATCAACAAATTTCAGGAATGTAAGGCGAGAGTTCTTCTTTTGGAATATATTTATTTCTCAGACCAAATGGAATACGAATGATGTAAGCACCACTGCTCTCTCCCATGTCATCTCCAAATTCATCCGTGTTTCTAGGAGCCAACATTTTCGTTGGTTTCCCATAACTCCAATCTACATCTGGCAAGGAGACTTGCCTAGTTAGCAAATAAACTCGATAAACTCCCGACATTGATCCCAAGGCCCGTGCAAGCTTCACAACATAATTAACCTACTCAGCACAAAAACAAATACAGGCAGAAAGATTTCAGTTACCCCCATATGATCAGATAGATGTCACCAAATTTAAGAGAGTGCATCTAATGTCGTATCACAGAATTAGAAACAGTTAACAATTAACAGATTCTTAACGAAAAAAATAAAAACCAAAAGGAAAACAATAACAGAAGCACTACATAATAAAACAAAATCACACCAGTATCAGAATCACGCCCCAACTCCATATTCTTACCACGTATGAGGCCATGCATGTTGTACCATAAACACGAAGTTAACTTCAAGAATAGCAAAAAAAAATCACATACTAAAGATAAGAAAAAGAGCTCCACATAATAAAATCAAAAACACAAATAAACAAAATTATAATAACATAAATCATGAACAACAGAGCTTGATCCACTTTTGCATTCAAATACATCCAAAACTAAATGAAAAAGTTAAGTAATGTAAAATCAACGATGGTATAAAATTACACATACCTCATTCGCGCTGCGGCTTCACATTGTTAAAACCAATATGGCCAACATCTGAATGATACTGAAACACAAATAAAACCCAACTATTCAATATTTATACAAAAAAACAATCAAAATTGAAATACATAAATCTAAATGAAATTCAATTTTGAGAGAAAAAATGTAAGATACCCTCACAGAAGAAAAAGAAGATGAACAACAAACCCTAACTCTGTTCATCTTATTTTGTTTTTTTTTCTTTCTTCCAAATTGCATCCATGAAAAACTAGATCTGTTATCACCAACAATACCAGAAGTAATAGTAGCCATTCTTAAAATTACAAAACCCTCAAACATCAAAAATCCAGAAAAGTTTTCTTTAAAAGGATTAAACTTTCAGAAAGGGAAGAAATGATAGACGAGAAATGAGAGAAAGAGAGAGGATTATGGATATGAGAAAGAGAGGGGAAGAGGGATCTAAGAAAGGGAGGTGACGACAAATTTAGGGTTTATGAGAAAAACCGATGAAAAGGTAGAGAGAAAATGGGAATGAGAGAGAAGAAGAGGTTAGAGATCTGAGCATGAGAGGAGAAAAGGGATTTGAAAAATCAAACAGGTTAGGCGTGTGAATTGGTTTGGTGGGAAGGGGGGGAAATTTTAAGGATGCCAATTGTTGATGGACATTTGGCATCAAAGTAGAGGCTTTGGTCAATATTAATTAAGTGATTTGTTAATTATCAAAATATCCAAATGGTAGTGTAAGGTAAAATACTTAGAAGGGCAGTATCGTCAAAGCGTGCAATTGAATTTTGAAGGGTTGATATAGTAGGTTGGAGTTGGAATTTTACAAATGAACTTAGAAAATGGCTATATGCAAGGAAATTAAACGAATCACTAATCATTCACGTGTTGCGTTAAATATTCAATTAGAAGAAAAACAAAAAAAGTTTCATTTAATTTTTATATTACTTGACTTCACGCCACCTTTTTGTTTTATTTCCTTCTTTGCATTTACAATACAATCCATTTCTTCAGATTTCAACTTATATTCTTCCGGATTCAAACCCGAACCCGCTATGGACGCAGTCCCAGATCGGGGCCGGTCCACCTCACCAACTTCGCGAACTCCGAACCATACTCCGAGGCTCGGTCCGAGCCGCCTCTCCAGCTCCCGCATCAGATCATCCCAATCATCATCTTCTTCTTCTTCTTCATCGTGCTTATGGCTATGGTGTCGAAGAAAACGAACGAAAGTGCTTTTGGCACTTATTGCGCTATTTGCTTTGTTTTTCTTTGTGAATTATATCATGCTTCTCCGCCTTCAACATCAGCAAGATCGACCCCGTAGTAATCCTAAGCCAACTCCTCGTTCGTCTCTTTCGCTTTCCCTTCAGGTCTCTCTCATGTTCTTCAATCCTCATTATGCTTTTAACATATTCATATATGCATTTAATTTTTTACTATTATGTATGCATTTAATAGTATGCATTTTTTATTGCATTTAATGTATGCATTTTTTATATAAGCTGTTTGGAATTACTTATGAAAATTGCTTATGTCTTGGATGAAAACTGATTTCAGCTTATTTATATAAGCTGTTTAGAATTACTTATCAAAATTGCTTATGTCTTGGATGAAAACTGTTTGACTTTATTTTATTTTATATTGTTATAGAAATAGTTTATACAAAAGCACATATATGACAAGTGCTTATGGTATAAGTGCTTATGCTATAAGCGTTTGATTAAACAGTTTATCCAAACAAGGCCTATAACTATTGCCTTTTGAACTATTTTCAGGGAAAATGGAACAAGAATAGTACTAGTAAAAAAACCCTAAAGGGAAATTATGCAAGGATGTTGGCATTGGCTGCCCATGCCTTGGCAGAGGTATATATTTTGAGGAATGTGTGGCTAGTTTGTAGTTATATAAGCTATCAAGTTCTTTAACGATTTTCCAATTGATTTCTATAACAAAATTTTCAGTTTTCAGTAACTCTGACTTTGGTGTTTCACGTAATGGTACACAGAATAAACGCGAGCCAAAAGATTTGTGGCAGGAACCCTTGGTCCCTGCTTCTTCTTGGACACCATGTTCTGATCAGCGAAATTGGGAACCGAGTGGTATGTATGTCTGAGCTGAACTTTGAAATTTGACAATTATTTATATTATGTCTGTGCATAACTACAAATAAAGAAAGACATATTGGTCGTCCATTACCGAGTACTCAGAGTTTGTTCTATTCTACTTTACTATTTTAATAGAAGGAAATAATGGATACATTTTGGTTACTGCAAATGGTGGGATCAATCAACAGCGGGTAGCTGTAAGTATTCTTGTTCGGATTGCTATTTTTTACGATGACGCCTCTGAGTTATTTGGGATTACTTTATTTGAAAGGAGAAAAACTTAATAAGCTTTATTGAAAATGATTAGAGTCATTTGTACTAACTTTGAGTTGCAACAGGTTTGTAATGCTGTCGTTGTGGCCCGGTTACTCAATTCAACTTTGGTTGTCCCAAAATTTATGTACAGTAGTGTATGGAAAGATACAAGGTAATGCTCTATCTATTTCTCTTTCTCATTGCCCTTCTTCCTTATACTTACTCACATAAGTTTATTTTGTTTTGTTTTTCCGGTGTCTTTTTATTTGATCAAACAAAATATTTAGTTACTGGGTGAATGATCTGTGAAAAAATTGCTTGCTAGTGGCATGTTTTAATGTGCATGTATAATTTGATCAACTAGTATTGGGTGAATGATCAGCGGAGAAATTGATTGCTAGTGGCATGTTTTGATATAGACGGGAAATTTGATCTGCTAATATTGGTTGAATTAAAGCTTTATTCAGCCAAATAGCTACAAGATTTATCAAAAATTTTGGGGGATAGGTTGAATATATGACTTCATAATTTACCACTTCCGGCATTTCTTGTTTTAACTTATTCAATTTCAATGTATTTTCTGAGGAAAATGAGTTATTTGAATTTCTAGTTTTACGATTTCCATGCCAGAGCTGTAGTCCATGGTTTTTCTATTATGATATTGTGACTTTGTCAATTTATCTTATTACTTTCTATTACATAATTTCAGTCAATTCAGAGACATCTATCAGGAGGAGCATTTTATTAACTACTTGGCTCCTGATATTCGGATAGTGAGGGACCTACCGAAGAAACTACAGTCTTTGGACTTGGAGGCAATCAGCAGTGTTGTAAGTCACACTCCCTCCCCTCTCAGTGAACTTACTAAACTCAACCATATCAGTCCTATCGGTATCTAATTGTTGGATGACTTTACCAGGTTACAGATGTTGACATGGGGAAGGAGGCCAAGCCAAGCTTTTACTTGAAACATATCCTACCTATTATACTAAAAAATCAAGTTGTTCACTTTATTGGATTTGGGAATCGCTTGGCATTTGATCCAATACCATTTGAGCTGCAGGTAAATATCCTTCGATACTTTGATATTACAATATATTTTTCGTGATCTCTAGTTTGGCAATGCTCTACTGTTATTATCTTTCTTGATCTCAAGCTCTATTATGCTTTTCCTAATTGAGGACTTCATCTAGAGACTTCGTTGCAGATGTAATTTTCACGCCCTGCAATTTGTTCCCAGAATACAAGAAACCGGTGCTTTGCTTCTTAAGAGGTTGCGCGGGCATGCAGGCCTTATTGGACCATTGGATCGGCATTTTGTTGGTCCATTTGGAGAATTAAATATGACAAGTGAAAAAAATTCCAAAAAAGCTTCCAAATATCTAGCTTTACATCTCAGATTTGAAATTGACATGGTAGCTCATTCTTTATGTGAATTTGGGGGAGGTGAAGAAGAGAGGGAAGAATTGGAAGCATATCGGGAAATCCATTTTCCTGCTCTGGCTCTGATGATAAAGACTACAAAGTATGCATCATAATTTTTTCATCTCAAACTGTTTTGACTTATTATAATACAACTGGAATACTTTTCTTCTATCACACATAGAAATCTTAGTTTATGAAGAATAGAGTCTGTCTTACTCTTTATCTACGCCGATTTAAAGTAATTGGAATCTTCTATGCAGATTACCTTCTCCTTCAGAGCTCAGGTCTGAAGGGCTTTGTCCACTGACACCTGAAGAATCCATTCTTATGCTTGCTGCTCTTGGTTTTAACCGCAAGACAAACTTATTTGTAGCTGGTTCTAATTTGTATGGAGGTGGCTCACGGTTGGCTGCTTTGACCAGCCTGTACCCTAAATTAGTCACCAAAGAGAACTTGCTATCTTCAGCAGAACTCAAACCATTTGCTAATTATTCATCTCAGGTTTGCTGTTACTGTCATTCTTGTTTCATTTATTTCAACGATGTCATAGTTCCAATTAAGCTCCTTGTTACAAGAAGTTTTGTTTTGCGCAATCTTCATGTTCTATACAATTTTGGCATTATTGAGCACCGGCTTATTTTGGTACTGCTGTTAGTCTTTTAATGAATGACATGAAACTGTTTCTATTGTAGTTAGCAGCACTGGACTTCATAGGCTGTGCTGCCTCGGATGCATTTGCCATGACTGATTCAGGAAGTCAGCTATCATCTTTGGTGTCTGGGTATCGAATATATTACGGTGGAGGAAGAATGCCAACAATACGTCCAAATAAACGCAGGCTGGCTAGTATATTCATGAAGAACTCTTCAATAGAATGGCGTATTTTTGAACAGAGAATGAGGAAAGCAGTCAGACAAACTAAACATGTACAGACAAGGCCTAAGGCGAGAAGTGTTTACAGATATCCTAGGTGTAGAGAATGTATGTGCAGGACAATTTGATTTACTTACATTAGCTTCACTGTAATTTGTAACATTGTTAATCATTATTCTTCTAACTAAATTGATTAATCCATAGATTTATTTACATTTACTGTAAACAGACAAGGCCTAAGGCAAGAAGTGCTTACAGTATCACAGGTTTAAAGAGTGTTTGTGCAGAACTATTTGATTTATTTATATTAGGATGATTGTTATTGCACATTGTAATTAGTAACCGTGTTATTATTTATTCCCACTCTTCTTTTCTTCTTCTGGTTGAATTGATTTGTTGGAAATGGAAGGTATAGTTGAGAAATGAAAAGAATAGTTGGCTGAAATTGGTAAGAGAAATAAGCCTTAAGTTCCTTAAAGTTTAGCTTGAAATTAGTGTGTGAATATGTGAATTTGAAAAAAGTTCTTTAAGTTTTATATCAGAGGGATACCACACTGTGAGATGTTGGATCGAACTCTAGTATGGTCGAAGTCTGTTCGCTAGTAATGCGTGTTGTAGTCGAAGTTTGTTCTAACATGTTTTAGTCAATATTGATAGGGTTGTTAGCATATTGAATTAGGCCTTACTTGTAAGCTCAATTGTTTAAGTTAGCTTGTACCCTAAGTTGGCTTGTAATGGGTAATTGTTTAAAAGCCCATTAGGTTAGTGTGCTATTTTATTATAAATAGGATGCTAGTTTCTCAATCTTGACATAAGGAAAAATAGGAAGATAAAATTCTAATTTCAAGGGAGAGAGGTTATTTTGTTATTCTTGTATACTTGTAATCTTGTTCTAAGAGAAAGGAAAGAATAACAGTTTAATAACCAATCCTTGTTGTTTTACCTTGTTTTCTTTGTTAACCCTAATCCTTGTGAGTTTCTTGATCATTAAGAAACCGTTTATACTTTGTTTAAAGGTATCCGATTCACAATAAATTGGTGCGGTGAGCGTGGAGAAGATGCCTTCAACAAAGTATGAGATTGAAAAGTTCACCGAAGTGAATGACTTCGGTTTGTGGCGCTTGAAGATGAAAGCCCTATTGGTTCAACAGGGTTGTTTGGAAGCGTTGAAGGGTGAGGCAGCCATGGACGCTGCGTTAACGACAAAAGAAAAGACGGACATGATCAAGAAAGCCCACAGTTCAATATTGTTGAGCCTTGGTGATAAGGTTCTTCGACAGGTATCAAAGGAGACTACATCATCGGGATTATGGGTGAAACTTGAAAGTTTGTACATGACCAAATCTCCGGTGAATCGACTCTACCTGAAGCAAACTTTATATTCATTCAAGATGAGTGAAGACAAAGTGTTGGCTGAGCAGTTGGATATGTTCAACAAGCTGATTCTTAATCTTGAAAATATTGATGTGAAGATCGATGATGAAGATCAAGCACTGTTGCTGCTGTGTGCTTTGCCCAGAACACATGCTCACTTCAAAGAAACCCTCTTGTATGGAAGGGAGTCCCTGACCTTTGAAGAAGTTCAACCAGCCTTGTATTCTAAGGACTTGAACGAACGAAAGGAGCATAAACCTTCGTCGACGGTGGGCTAAGGCTTGGCCGTTAAGGGAAAATTCTTGCGAAAGGATGGTAAGTTCGACAAGAAGAAAGGTAAAAGTCAACAAAAGTCTTATAGTGGCGAAACATCTAGTATTCAATGTTATCACTGTAAGAAGGAGGGTCACATAAGAAAGGTGTGCCCTGAACGCCTGAAAGATCATGGAGGTAATGGCAATGCAGTCATTGTTCAAGATGACTTTGACTCATCTGATGTTCTTGTGGTTTCAAGTGGCGACTCGAGGAAAGAGTGGATTATGGATTCAGGTTGCACTTGGCACATGACTCCAAACAGAGATTTGTTCGAGGAGCTATGTGATCAAGATGGTGGATCTGTGCTGCTGGGAAACAATAAATCTTGCAAAATTGCAGGTATTGGATCTGTGAGATTCAAGCTCCATGATGAGTCAATAAGGTTATTGACTGAAATCAGGTACGTACATGACTTGAAGAGAAATTTGATTTCTCTTGGTGAATTCGACAGAAAATGATACATTTTTCAAGGAGAGAAAAGTATCCTAAGAGTCATGAAGAGGTCGAAGGAAGTCTTGAGAGGCGTGAAGAAACAAGGCTTGTATACCCTTGAGGCTGAGGTTGTAAGTGGTTCGACAAATGTTGCATCCACGAAACTTATGTCGAAGACAAAATTATGGCACATGAGATTGGGCCATGTCAGCGAAAGAGGCCTGGTCGAATTAGGGAAGCAGAACCTGCTAGGAGGTGACAAAGTCGAAAAGTTGGAATTTTGTGAATCTTGTGTATTTGGTAAATCCTGTAGGGCGAAGTTTAACAAAGGCAAGCAAAGAACACATGGATCCCTGGATTACATTCATGCTGATCTTTGGGGGCCTGCAAGGAATCCTTCACACTCAGGTGCAAGGTATTTTCTATCCATCGTTGATGACTATTCCAGAAAGCTATGTGTATTCATTCAGAAGACAAAGGATGAAACTTTTGAGAATTTCAAAAGTTGGAAGATTCTGGTCGAAACTCAAACTGGCAGAAAGGTTAAGAGGTTGAGAACCGACAATGGCCTTGAATTCTGCAACGAAGCGTTCAACAGTTACTGTGTTGAGTCTAGGATTGCAAGGCATAAGACTGTAGTAGGTACTCCTCAACAAAATGGCTTAGCTGAGAGATTCAATCGAACAATCCTTGAAAGGGTCAGATGCATGTTGGTTAGTGCTGGATTGAAGAAGGTGTTTTGGGCGGAAGCTGTTTCGACAGCAGCTTACTTGATAAATAGATGTCCCTCGACTGCCTTGGGAATGAAGACACCTGAAGAAGTTTGGTCGGGACATCCACATAGTCTCGACAGACTGAGAGTATTTGGATGTGTGACCTATGCTCATATTAGAAAAGACAAGGTCGAACCTAGAGCTCTGAAGTGCATGTTCATGGGATACCCTGAAGGAGTCAAAGCTTATAGGCTATGGTGCCTAGAGCCAGGTCACAGAAGGTGTATCACCAGTCGAGATGTAGTTTTCAATGAAGCAGAGATGGCTTTCAAGAAAACTGATGATGCTTACGAAAAGCTGGAACAGGGAGAGATTCCTGTTGAGGTGGAGCATGTTGATACTGAATTGCTTACCCCAGATGAAGTCAAAGAAGACGCAGAAGATGTTGTCGAAGATGAGGAGACTGATAATGACTACCTGCTAGCAAGAGACAAGTCAAGGAGAGTCATCAAGCCACCTCAGAGACTTGGGTATGCAGATCTTATAGCTTACGCCTTAATCTCTGCTAGTGAGGTTCTAGATGAAGAACCTAGAGACTATAAGGAAGTTATGAGGAGTCGAAAGAAGACTGAATGGCTGAAGGCCATGGATGATGAGATGAAATCTCTTCATGATAACAACACCTGGGAACTGATCAAGAAACCTGCTGGAGCCAGGTTAGTCAGTTGTAAGTGGATTTTAAGGTACATAAATGGGTCTCTGAATAGAGTCCTAATTTATGGTGGAGCCTTGGGTGAAGATAGTAAAGCAGTAATCGAAGGATATGTCGACTCTGATTATGCAGGTTGTATAGATTCCAGAAAATCTATCTCTGGATATGTGTTCACTATGTTTGGGACAACAATCAGTTGGAAAGCAACACTTCAGAAGGTCGTTGCCTTATCAACCACTGAAGCGAGTATATTGCCCTAACTGAAGCTGTGAAGGAAGCATTGTGGCTTGAAGGTTTTGCAAAAAAGGTAAAACTTCAAGGTCGAGTTATCACTGTTAAATGTGATAGTCAAAGTGCAATACACCTGTCGAAGAATTCAGCCTATCATGAGCGAACTAAGCACATTATGTGAGGCTGCATTTCATCAGAGGGGTAATCGAGCGTGGAGAAGTCCAAGTGCTGAAGGTTTCGACATATCATAATGCTGCTGATATGATCACTAAGACGTTGCCCAGTTGCAAGTTTTTCCACTGTATGCAGTTAATAAAGCTGCATGAAGAAAGCTAGTTTCTTGATGTTATAGAGTTAGATCCAAGGTGGAGATTTGTGAGATGTTGGATCGAACTCTAGTATGGTCGAAGTCTGTTCGCAAGTAATGCGTGTTGTAGTCGAAGTTTGTTCTAACATGCATTAGTCAATATTGCTAGGGTTGTTAGCATGTTGAATTAGGCCTTACTTGTAAGCCCAATTGTTTAAGTTAGCTTGTACCCTAAGTTGGCTTGTAATAAGTAATTGTTTAAAAGCCCATTAGGTTAGTGTGCTATTTTATTATAAATAGGATGCTAGTTTCTCAATCTTGACATAAGGAAAAATAGGAAGATAAAATCCTAATTTCAAGGGAGAGAGGTCATTTTATTATTCTTGTATACTTGTAATCTTGTTCTAAGAGAAAGGAAAGAATAGCAGTTTAATAACCAATCCTTGTTGTTTTACCTTATTTTCTTTGTTAACCCTAACCCTTGTGAGTTTCTTGATCATTAAGAAACCGTTTATACTTTGTTTAAAGGTATCCGATTCACAACACACACTTTAGTAGTGCATATTAGTGCATATATAATGCAGGTTGCCCTCTTGAGGTGTGTACCCTAAATGATACACAGAGTGAAAGAGATAGAATGCACTGCCATAAACCATCACAGACGTGTCTGTCGTCTGTCCGGCTTGGCTCTCGGTTCGGTTTATGATGTGTAGAAGATTTTAAAGAAATTTAATTACTTTGACTGTGACATGCAATATAAGATCTACTACCATCAATGGCATTCCATGAATTCAGCCAATGATAGTACAATCAATGGCATGCCATGAATTCAGCCAATGATGCTCGCATATTTAGTTTTTCTAACATTGTCACCTATTCTTAAATAGTTTTACACTGTATGATGTGCAAGCAACTTTACATTTAGTAATTATATATCTTTAAGATCTTTTTCACATTGTGATCTGAATCGAGAGTCGAGCCAAGCTGAGACAGCTCGTCGGATTACAACGACGGGTGCGGGTGAGATGGTTTACTAATAGACTGAGTAATGACTATTCGCAAGCTATTGAGAGCGTCATGTGATACCTTAAAAGGAACACGAATCTTTGTATATATTATCATAAATTTTTTGATGTACTTGAATGATACATTGACGATGTATATTGGAACACCTTATCGTATGATATATTGATGCATATGGGAGCATCTTATCAAATGATTTCAAAATAACTTGTGACTATATATTTAGTATTGTTGGAAAAGTTATATCTTGGGAATCAAAGAAACAAATTATCTTGGCTTAGTTCACAGTGGAGTTTGAAATGATAGCATTAACAATTGCTAATGAAGAAATAAGTTGGTTAAAATGTTTGCTAGCTGAGATTCTTTTGTGGGAAAGATTTATGTCAGTTATGTTAATTCATTGCGATAGTACCATGAATATTAAAAAAATTGAGAGTCATTATTATATGATAAGAGATGTCAAATAAAAGAAAGCACAACATAGTTAAAGAGTGTATCTCTAAAGGAATTGTAAGAGTGGATTATGTACGCACTGATGAAAACTTATAAGATTCTTTGATGAAAAAATTAGGGAGAGAGAAAGTCCATAATACATTCAATAGAATTAGACTAATGCCTATAGATAAGTGAGTTGTTTATAATGGTTATACAGCCTAAAGGACTTGAGATTTCAAGAATTAAGTTCAATGGATAATAACAAATTTTGAGCAATACAAGATTGATCATGCTAGTATAAATAAGAGAAACCTAAATCATGAAAGATAAGAGGATGGAATAATAGAAACTCTTATGAGATTTATATCATGTATAAATGAGTACCAAGTTACATGAGTATTCTTGATAGACACACATGTGGGTTTGTGGAACTTAGGTTGATAGAGATCTTTGCATGTCATTTTCTCCACTCCAAGTTTCCGCATTAATCATAATCTTTCTCTTCTTTTGTCTCCGCTTAATCTCTATAATTTTCTTTTCTGTTTTATTTTCGATTGACTGCTTTGCGCCATATATGATTGGTAGATATTATGATTGATAATTCATAATTCATACAATTGGTCTTTGTATAATTAGAGGGTGTACTTCGACCAATTACCTATTGCGCAATAGTAATCGTATAGTTAAGAACTGAATTGTTTTATCTCAAAGGTGTCGTAAATTATTGTCCGCCTTGCACAAATTTTGAACAATCCCGCGACTCAACCTAATAATTTTTTTTTTTTCTGTGGCATATTTTAAAAATCTTAAAACATGATTAGTTAATTACTTGCTTTTTTACATGTGACTAATCTGACAGTGACTATTGTCTTATGTGTTTCCATCACCCTGGTAATGCTCAGCATATTTTGTTGCTAAAAGCTGAAAACCCAAATAATTAGCATGAAGAATATGTGTTGAGTATCTCCCTCGAATTTCTGAGCCTGTGTTAAGAAAGGGGAGGGGCAGAGACAAGGGGAAGGCAACTTATATGCTTGCACAGTAAAGGAGAAGAAAAAAGGAAAGGGTAGGGAGAGAAAGTGAAGAGAATAAGAGTGAAAAAATAGGATAGGAGAGGGGCTTCCCATAGTGGTTGAAAGAGAGAGAGAGAAAACAAATATAATAAAGTTGTAATTCATTGAGTGATGAAATGGATCCATTACAAAATAACCAAACAATAGAGTGAAAACTTAAATTTCTATTTGTTTCACTCTATTCTTTTACATTTGCATGTTATCCAAAAATAATCTTAGAGACTAACATTACAATTTATGTTCCTCTAATGAAACGGGCAGAACCGACAAAGTTATTCTTACTATGTGATCCAAACTTCCTGTCAAAACAATTTCACCAAAGCTAAAATTTTCCATTGGTTGATTCACATTGATATGTATTTCCAGATCTTGTGTTGCTTGTGGACTTATGGTAAACCAAGTTGGATTCAAGTTAATTGAAGTTCCATTAGGAGGTAGAACGGAGCCCAAGTATGTCTCTGTGCTGTTCCCTACATTCATCACAGTTCTTCTCACAAAAATTGATCCTTTTAGTGCAGATATTGTCACTGATGGAAGGTTTAAATTAGATGGATAATCAAATGGATTGTTGCATGGTTCTCCGGTTGCTGTTGTTATTGTACTCGGATCGATGTTTGGCAAAGAGCACAAGAAGCTGATGAAATCTTGAAAATCTGTTTTAGGACAAATGAATACTTATGTTACAAATTTGAGCAAAAGTTTTGTTTCTTTCGTTTTGGTTTTGCATGATACTATACAATAGTAATAAATATATATACCTGATGGGAGCACCAAGCCGGGATCAATGGCACGACTAGGGTTTACAATGCCCGCCCCAAAATCAAAAGGAGTGGATGGATGCGATGTGTTGACCTCATAGCCTTCGGCCATCATAGGATCGCCAAGATTGTCATACTTTTTGCCGGTTGTGGTGATTGCAGATGCTATCATAGATGGACTCCATGATGGATTATATTGCTTGATCAGAGCCGCGATTCCAGCCACGTGAGGCGCTGCCATGCTGGTACCAGATAATAATGCAAAATCATGTCCTGTATGCAAAATCAGTTATCACAAGACACTCGAAAAGCGGACAAACGTATAGATTAGTGCTCGTATGAACGCTAGTAATAATAATGTACCTGTTAGCATAGGTTGTTTGGCACTAATAGGGCTCCATGCAGCCCATATTTGGTGCCCTGGAGCTAGAATATCAGGTTTAAGTACATCAGCAAGATTTTTTTTTGCATCAATGATATCTGGACCTCTCGACGAAAATCTACTAACAACCGGTGATCGCCCTTTGAAATAGGCAACTCTTCCTTCCGCTTTAGACGCCATAGCACCATGTTCTGTAACAGTTCCTTTCTCGTCCCTCTTTGTGTGTTCTTCGTGATATTTCTCGATAGCCTACATTTGAAAGTGTCATGAGTTCCTCATTAAGTATATAATAAAGTTCAATGCAGTACTTGCTTTTACCTTGGTATCAGCTACAGAAGGAATCAAGATACCAGGAATAGGAAAAGGAATCGGCTCTGCAATATAATCGCCGTAGCTCGGATTTGCAGTCAGAATAAAACCCTCGAATCCTAGAGCCTTGGCGGTGCTGATAATGCCAGCAACTGTTGAGGTTCCATTAAGGAATCCTTCAGAGAAATTGCATATTATGATACTTCCAAACACTTTAATAGGATCCAAAGCTTCTGGATGCTGGCACTCTTCTAAGTACTCAGGAGTATTTGGGAATGTTCCATTTATTTTTACTGCATCCTTAGCGAATACAAGTTTACGGAGAATTGTCCCATTTCCAAAACTTGGTCCTGTAAAAAACATATGCATTATGAATCACCGACACCTTTGAAAAAAGACGTATAAGTGTCGTGTCTGGTATCTGTGTGATTAGTGCCCGTGCTTCATAGATAGGAAGTAGTACCTGATAGTCCAACGCCGTCTATTGTTTGACCATTTCCAAGAAGGATTGAAGAAGTGTATCTTCTGTCTGTGTTGCAAGCGGCAACACCGACACTCCATGGACTGAATGATACTACACTTGAAGATGATGGACCATTATTACCTGCGGCTTGAACTACTAAAACTCCAGCTTTTCTTGCAAATAATAAAGAAATATCAAAGATGCTGAGAAATGTTAATGTATCTTGTGGTGGTCTGTTTGGTCCAATAGAGAGTGATATGATATCTACTCCATCTTGTACAGCCTGCACATATCAAACAATCACTTCTCAAATTTCATTCCTTATGTCAACATGTTTTATTTTTCTTCAGTTTGAGAAGAGAAGGGACACTTACTTGATCTATAGCTGCAACAACATCTGCCATAGTTCCCACGGATGAGTAGATAGCTTTATAAACAGCAATCCTTCAAGAGACAAACATTTTCAGCCATACAATTTCACTATCACTAAATTTGTGCCAGGTAACATAAGTAGGACTCTTTAACACCCCTAGCCCCAAGACTGATTATCTGAGGTGTGGTATAAATGACAGGTGAATCGATAGCAAAAACCTAATAGCACGTGGCTCAATGGAACTTGGATAAACTCAAATACCACCTTAGAATTGTGGTTTAGGTCTAACTCAATCCTATATACCTGACTTATAAACATATATTAAAACCATATCTTTTTTAACGCGAGACTCTTCCTCGGTCTGAACTCATTTAGCGTGTAAACTAAATTGGTCATTTAGAGTGTAACATATTATCCATATCGATCTCACCTTGCGCGTGGTGCCATTCCGCTGGCTCGCCCATAACAAAAACCATTGACTTGGACAGGAACACCAGCATTTCCAGCAGCAATAGATGCCACATGACTGAAAGAAACCAAGCAAGTCTCAAAATTAATGACACACATACATAATAAAAACAAACATTGATGCCCCTAATATTACCTGCCATGTCCATCTGCATCAAAAGGTGAAAGAAAATCAACAGAAGCATTAAATTTAGGAGTAGCTTGAGCACCAGCTGAGAAATATTTAGCTGAAACAATCTTTCCATTGCAAGATTCAGGTGGAAAGTGTGGACCAGTCTCACAAGCACCAGAAAAGTGAGAGACATTTGTACTGAAAGTTTGCGAACCGAAGCTTGGATGAAGTGGATTAATGCCGCTATCAATAACACCAATAACCACTCCATCACCTGCATTTTTCTCTCCTCCTTCTTCTGCCCAAACTCCTTTTGGCAAGTCAAGAAAATTAGGAGTATATGTTGTCATTTTCTTCACTCCTCTATCTTTCTCTACCAACTTCACTCCCGGCGTAGCTTTCAGTCTTTTCGCCTGATATGTTTGACAAAATATTTCAACTGCGACTAATCTACACATAGCTTTCAAAAACTTAAGACCTGCGGCTAATCTACACAGAGCCTCCAAAAACTTAACCGACTATGGAGATGAGTATGAAGATGAGATGGAGTACCTGAGAAGGAGTTGTGTGGACAGAGAAGCCATTGATTATGTGTTTGAAACTGTGGAGTTTGTTGTAGCTTCCACTCTTCAAAGTGCTTTGTAGAAGCATGTTGTGAGATTCCAATAAGTGTTCTTCATGTTCCTTTGAAGCATTTCTATTTAATAAGCCATGCAAAAATAATATGTAAATTAAAATAAGTTACAATAATAAAATGATAAAGAAAATAATAACACTAGAGTTACATTAAAGAAAATAAAATATATAAGGATGAAAAAGAAAGACATAAAAAAATAATAGTAATCTTAATAATTCTAATGTGTGATCTATTTAATTTTACTTTATTTCTTTCTATTTTTTAAGATAATATTATTTTTTTAATACTAAGGAGAATGTTAGGGCTTCTCTATAAATGAAATTGCTGTCGAGTACAGTTGCCTTTAAGAATTCAAATTTAGATAATTATGAGGTGAAGTAGATCCAGTGTTACGCGTGAGAATAGAGTGTATTAGAAAGATTTCAAATCCTATGTTAGTTTGATATGAAATTTGAAAAAAATTATCTATAATAATACTTTTCATATTTTATAAGTCAATTTTGTGCATATGAATTACACCAAACCATAAATCTAATTCTAATAGTTTCTATTGCTGCTGCACAGTACTGAGCAAGTTTCATAGATAATTCGAATTCGGTGAGGAGAAGATATTGAAAATTGAAAGGGTGATATGCTACCTTTACTATTGTGTGTCTTTGATACCTCTTGTGCATTTAGGAGAAAAATAATAAATAAAATAAAGTGTTTGATGAGAGAGAGAATAAACGGTTAAGAGAGATAGAGAGAAAGTTATTAAAGTCCTCTTAAATTAGTTCAATTGTTAGTTGTTAGTTAGGCAGAGATATCAAATATAAAATTGTGTGTTCAATTACAAGATTACTTACAAAAAAATAAAGAGAAAAAGTCATTAAATACTTGAAAGTTGAAAGGAATCAAATCCTATCATAAATATTTATGAAAGAGAAAGATAAATAAAAAAGAGACAATATTTTTAAAAAAAATACTAGGAGGGAGATTGGTAAGGCTTTAATTCTCTAAAAACAATAGTCAAGAGAAGAAATTAATAAATACAACAAAAGAACAACCAACAAAATAGTCGAACAAACACTTTGAATGAGAGAATTATGTAGATAAATGCCCGACAACTAAAAATCAATCTTCTTAGAAATATACTAATTCTCATACCGTCGTTTCCACCATCAATATATTAGAACTCATCAAGAGAACACCAAAATCACAAGTCAATATCTACTTCAGAACTAAGATAAACACTCAATCTAATATTGGTGCAAAAAGGGGATATGGTTCTAAAGCGAGCAAGAAAAAGTGCAATAGTTCACCTTTGATCTTTCTAAAAATCACTTCCAAGCTAACAAATATTCATTTATCCAAATCATTATGACTTTTCAAATGGATGAGGCTACAAAGTGTACAATTATTAAAAAATCACCCATATATTTAATCTTGCTCCCGAAAAAATGAAAGACTAAAAAAGAACCCTAGGTTCATTATGAACGAACTACATATCATTCCAACCGACTCAAGTAACAAAAATTGTTCTTTTAGGGCTACCTCACAAGCAAACAAAAAAAGGAAAGAAGTCTCAACCAAATCCGTGCATAAGGGATAAAAATCCGACCAGATTTAACAATTACCTCTCTTTTAGACAAATTCTTTTTAAAAGAAAATTTGTCTTGTGAAATGTGTCATTAGAAGACCAATACCTTAGAAGCGACCAAACTAATTTTAATATGGGAAGAAAAGACAGCTAAGAAAATACCTTCTTTAATATATTTTCAAATCCACTAATCTCCATCTAAGAAGAATGTGCATTTTCGTAGAAGAGAGTAATATTGTTTTAAAAAACAAAATAAAAGTAACCAATTTCTATTGGATAAGATCAAATTTATTCTATTTTTTTTCTTCAAAATTTTGATGATAAAGTATTTATTTTTCCATATCAAGAAATGTGTTTAAGATTTATATCATCATCACAGTCAAGAAAACTCGTATATCTAATATAGAAAAATTTCTCTTTATACATTCAACATTTCTTGGTTCATCGAGCAAGTCTCGCAACATATTTAAATTGGACAATTAGAGAATATAGTAAATTAAACAAACATAAATATTCATTTAACACGTATAAATTAGAGGGAAAAATTTTACATTTTTTAAATGAATTTAGAAAGAAATTTCACATTTTCACCTTTAAATTATTCTCGATTATTAATTTTATTCTTATTAGTAGTGAGTATAAGCTTAAATAACTATATTCTAACCTGATGATCATTGATGAATTTTCCTTTTGTGATGCTCCATGAAAAGCGACCCCATCTCCTTCCAATAAGACCAAGTATATAGATCTCTCCTCTTGAAAGCCAGAGCCAGAACTCTTAAAAACTAAGAACATCAAAATTATGAAAATGATTAAAGATGGTAAAGCTATACAACTAATTTTGGCCATGGTGTAACAAAGGGACAACCAAAAAGCTTTGTCAAATTTCATTTAAATAGACTAAATATTGTGAAATTTATAAACTAAGAGAAAGAAGATATCACGTTGTAACATACGTTATAAGTTAATGGTGGCAAAACTTGTAAAACATGCAACTATATATACAAAAAACCTTATTATGAACGTGAACAAAACGTTAATTAGTGAGAAAATAAAACCACTGCACATTATATGTGAGTATATAAGTAATAAATTGTGTAAAAGAAAAGTAATATTAGAATATTATAAAATGAGAGTTTGTTTTTAGAATTCTTGTTTATTAGTATCATACTACTTTTTAAGTAGTCTCACACTAACCATGCAATCCCCTAGCGTGTTCAATGCATAGGATAGTTTAGTAATTATCATGAGACAGGTTGTTATAAATTTTTATTGTATTAAAAAAACTTTTTTTCTTTCAAATAAAATAATTATCTAGAAGCTTTTATTGGTTTACTATATAAATATGTTTCTATCATTTAGAAATAGTATTTTTGATATTTTAATACAAAATATTATTCTAAAATCTTACAAATTCAAACTTTTATATTATTTTATATACTAATAATAAATTTTGTAAAAATAACACATTCACAGGATTAATCATTATATTTTAAGTTTAATTTTTTTCTAGTTTTTCTATTATATTTTTGTATTTAAAGTTGATAATATATTTACTTTTAGATGTGACGTATAATTGTATAACTCATTTTGAAATAAGACATATAATCATATAAGTATCCTTTTAACGTGACACATTAATGATAAAAGTTACTTGTTAATAAAAAATGATATATTATTTTTAATATAAATATATGAGACCAAAACAAAAGCTGTTGAATTTAAAACAATGTAACTAAGTTAATGAATGAACAAAAACTATAATGGAGTCAATAAATTATTATTTTTAAAATATAAATATGAAAGAAAAGTAAATAAATCAATATAGACATTTCGTAAAAATTCATTGATATATACTTTGTCAATGCTATATATATATATATATATATATATATATATATATATATATATATATATATATATATATATATATATATATATATATATATATATATATATATATATATATATATATATATATATATATATATATATATATATATATATATATATATATATATATATATATATATATATATATATATATATATATATATATATATATATATATATATATATATATATATATATATATATATATATATATATATATATATATATATATATATATATATATATATATATATATATATATATATATATATATATATATATATATATATATATATATATATATATATATATATATATATATATATATATATATATATATATATATATATATATATCTTTTTTTACTAAAATAAGAAATTAGTTACCATATAAAAATTAATTATTACTATATTTATTTAGAATTTTAAATACGCATATTATCTATTTTTTCTAAATAAATATTTTTTATTTACAGCATAAATAAAATCATATATTTTTTATATTATTTTCATGTTTAGACTCCACATTATTTCATCTATCATATCATATAAAGATAGATGTGTAGAAATATTTTATATTTTAATATTATTAATTATTATATTTTAATAATTATTATGTAAGCGTATATATTTATATTAATTATAATAGTTATTTATAAATTAAGAATCTTAATTTATTAAGTGGTAAAATAAAATTAAAAATATTAATTAGATTTTTATTTAATAATTAATTAGTTAGTTGGATATGGAATAAGGGTGACCTATTTCGAAATAAGGGTGGCCTATAGTTTCAATATAATCTACAATAAGTAGATTATCTTTTCTCCCAATCTAAATAGTGTTTAAGGCATTAAAATGTCGATTGAGGAATATCCATAAGGTAATAAGTGTCGGTAATTTGTCTCTACACTTTTATGTTTTAAGATTACTGTTGTCATTGCATATAAATCTTTCTCCTTCGATCTGTCCAAATATTCCTACAATTTTTAATAGATCAATAGGTCGTAGATCTTAAGATTATAGGTATGGATGTTCATATGCTTGTTTTATTTCCTTAAGCTATGGTTATAGTTTTAATTTTTGTATTTGAGTATGCCTTGTATACATGATTTATTATGTTTATTTCAATAATTGGTATTAGAACGGGTTTTCATGTTTGATTTATTAATATTTGTTTCGTTCAAGAACCACAAATCTGGATGTAATTGGTGACCTAAGGATCTTGAACCTGTGGTGCTGATCTCCGTCACGATAGCACGGAGTGGACCTGTAACACCCTAACTAAACCCCCGTAATATTCTTAAATAAAACATCAGAGTTGTTGCACCCCAAAATTTGCCCAACTTTTCTTTACCTAGCTTATGTTTCATTTCATTCACATTAGCATTATCATTTGCATTTCATTGACATGTATGTAGGAGATCAAGAGGCATGATTACCAGTTGAGAGCTACACAAAACTATGAAGCTAGCTAAGAAGGTTATTCAAGTGTTCAACGGTTGATATCCTTGTCAGAGAAGTTGAAAGAGCCTCAGAAAGAGTG